GAAGCCAACTCCTTGTCGTCCCGACAAAAAAAACCTTTTCTTCATTTGCTGTGAATTCTGCTCCTTCACATTCAGCAAAATCTTTCAAGGGAGGATTTACGGTCACAGACCTCATCTGGCTTGGAGAGCTGACAGGCGGAGATCTGCAGAACTTGGCTAGGAGCCTCGGAGAGTCACGAACCAATGAAGCGAACTGATGGTCTCCTGCAAACTCCACTCCCCTGTCGCTCCTCTTTTATTCCCTCTGGGAGGGGCCATTCACTGTCCACCTGTGGCCTTACTCCCAAGTGTGTTTAACTGTTTAATAAATTTATAGGCCGCCCAATCCCGAAGGACTCCGGGCGGCTTACAGAAATACATTTCAAAATTAACAAATTAAAATAGGGAGAATAAAAAACAGAGTCGACCCCTGTTCTTTAGCTGTTCCCTTTGCCTGGCAACCCTGCGCATGGGCACACTGGGAACAGGCTCCAGCTGTTCTTCTGCCCCACTGCTGTCTGACTCCGAAGGCAGCTGATAACTGGCATACGGCCCTGTCCCCCTCTCTGTCTCTGACGCAGAGCCCTCCTCAGAGCCTTCCCCAGACTCCAGGACTGGCCCAGGTTCCTCCCCAACCCTCCTCACTGTCTGAATCGGCTGCCACCTGTGCTGGCTGCTGGCGGGCCACAATAATTACGTTTCCTAGACCGTTTTAGGGCCCTTTTCAAAGAGCACAGCGTGTTGCTTTTTGAATAACAACACTCGCCAGCAACACACACCCACACGCCTCCTGTCTAATTCATTCCCAGTTCCCATGACCAACACGTTCCGGTGTCTTTTGCATCCTCAGTCTTTACACGATCTTGTAAATCGCTGTTGCCAAGGCCTGCTTTTCATCTCTTGAAAGAATCTGTTCTCTGCACTGCGAGTTTTCTTTCCTTTCCTTCCTATATTTTACAAGTTTTATTGGATTTTTACTTTTAAATGTACATCAGTATCAATGCACGAACAGTGTGGCCTCGGGGTGTAATTCATTTTGATACAAGCCTCAATAATAGTATTAATAATATTTCCCACATTAATCAAACTGATATCACCCTAGTGTTAATAGAATTGTTTGCTTTAAAGTAGTGAATGCCAATGGTAAGGGGCGTGGTGGTTCAGTGGCTAAGAGCTTGTCGATCGGAAAGATCAGCGGTTCGGCGGTTCGAATCCCCAGCGCCGCGTAACGGAGGGAGCTCCCGTGACTTGTCCCGGCTTCTGCCAACCTAGCAGTTCGAAAGCACGTAAAAAAATGCAAGTAGAAAAATAGCGACCACTTTTGGTGGGAAGGGAACAGCGTTCGGTGCCCCTTCGGCGTTGAGTCATGCTGGCCACATGACCACGGAGATGTCTTCGGACAGCGCTGGCTCTTCTTTGACTTTGAAACGGAGATGAGCAGCGCCCCCTAGAGTCGGGAACGACTAGCACATATCTGCGAGGGGAACCTTTACCTTTAATAATATTAATATACTTGTTTGTTTTAAAATAGTTAATGCCAACGGTAATATTATTTAAATATACATGGCAAAGCCATCTTTTAACTGCTAAACTTTCCATCTAATTATTGCTTTTATTCTGTTATACAACATTTATATATGCTAATATTCCTCCTTATTCCTATCCCTATTCTAGCTTCTAATCAGGTCACCGTTACTTATCCTAGAGTTAATGCACATGGTTATGTTAAGACATAGTCCTTCATTATTTGGTTATTCAATATTTCTGTACGCCATTCTAGTGCCAATCATCGTATTATTTAAATATACCTAATGATAGCATTTTTCAGCCTCCAATTCTTTCCCTCTAATAGTTTCATTTTCCATTGTGACTAATACTAATAGCAGGTGCTATTAGTATTAGTGCGAAGACACAACCAGAAGGGAGGAGAAGAAGAAGAAGAAGAAAAAACGTTTCCTTTTCAATTTCCCAATTTAGGGTACCTAGATTTGTCTTTAACATGTACATTTAAAAATCTACAAATGTTTGATGGAGGAAATGAGTTTATCTCTCCATCGGGTGCCTTCCCCTGTAGATTACCCACCATCTTCCCCATTTCATGGTGGGAAACCACCTGCAGAGGTTGGGATGATACGCGAAGCTAAAATGGGATTTGTTCTTTTACAGCTGGAATGAATAGCAATAGCAGTTAGACTTATATACCGCTTCATAGGGCTTTCAGCCCTCTCTAAGCGGTTTACAGAGTCAGCATATCGCCCCCAACAATCGCGGTTAGTTAGACTTATATACCGCTTCATAGGGCTTTCAGCCCTCTCTAAGCGGTTTACAGAGTCAGCATACCCCCCCCAACA